TACATTTATAAATGAATTTAATGATATATTATATAATAAAATTTATTTATGTATTACAAATTTATTAATAAAAACAAGAAATGTACAGAAAAAAACTTGCGGATCAGAGAGTTAATAACATGGCAAGTATTTGAGATCTTTATTAAATGTATGTATAGCATATGTTTTAATGAAGTTTTAATAAGTTTTGTTAAAAAAGTACAATAACTTATTATAACTAATTTATTTCAGACGTCATTTTTGCCTTAACTGCTGTTATATATAAACATACAAAAACAGCTTTTAAGCCAAGTAGCAATATCGAGATTAAATTAAATGTCATGTGTATGTATATAAATGTATGTATATAAAATCTATTTTAGTGTTTATGCACTCCAGCGAAGTGTACTTTTTTCCCTTGTCCATCTAAAGCCTCCATTAAGCTTGATGTAAAACTAAATTCTGAGCTACTTTCGTCTTCTTGACCTCTGAAAAAATAATATAATTAATAATCTGTTATATTAAAATGTTTCGGTTTTTTTTATGCTGATAATTTTCTCTTGAAAAAAGAGAAGACATACAGTGTATCAAGACTTGTTAGACTGCCATTCAATGTTGGCATACTAACAAAACCATCTATCTTCAATAATTCAAAGTAAGAATTAATAGTGGCCACATAAATTCCTTTTGAACCAGCTGTGCCTAAATAACGTGGACTAGATAATTCGATTAAGGTACGTTCAGGGTTCCTTTCCGAAGAACTATATGCGTCTGCATCGAGTTTCACAATCTCGACAGATGAGAAATGAATAATAAATAAGTACGGTTTGCAGAATGCTAAAATAAGGTAATAAGTTATGTGATTAATGTACAGCATTAATATGTAAATAAAATGATATCTAGAAAGGAAAATTATATTTACCAAAAGCAAATGGCAAATGATTCCACACTGGATCAATAGCGCGAGTTCTTCTACCATTTTCGTCTACAAATACACCAAACTCATTGTAGCATAGTAAAAGCTCCGCTGTGCCACATATATTTGAAATATTTAGAACACACACAGGAAATGTGCCAAGTTTCGCTGCACCAGATATTGCCGCTTTAATTGAGTTATTGTCTTCTTCTGGGAATTCTGTGAATATTGTTTTTTTTCAGAATTATATTTCTTATTCAGATATATTATAAATTTCTGTATCATGAGAAATTACTTACTAGTTTAAGAATTATGTATAATATATATATATATAATTTTCTTTGTGTACTTACCATCTACAACATAAGTTTGCAGATCAATTTGTAAAAATTTGTCACAACCTACAATAAGACGATTTGTAGTAAATATAGCACAACTGCAAGGTGTATCAAATTGTGTATCAAATTTATAAAGTCTGACGAATTGTCCGAAATCTTCTTCGATTTTCCATTTCAATAATCTGCATTAACATATAAAATATTACATCTAAAATTCAATACGTTTCAATACTGTATTATATTTATAAAAAATGAATTAAAAATTACATACATCACACGAGATGTGGTTGCGGCGCATAGTATATTGCCTTGTAATTGATAAAGATGGCAACTATCAGAGATAGATAATACAGTCTTTGTACTGATTGCTGGTCTAGAACAGTCGGCGGCCAATGCATTATTCTTCAATAGCCTCAAGTTACAATATACTAATTCCCTGTATTCACCGGCTATCATTAAAGCCAGATCCAAATGAGAATGTAAAGAAAGCTGGTGTATTTGCTTGACACCGCGAATTGTAGTGAGCGTTTGAGATTTCGAAGCGCAATATGAAAAGAGACCTTCTTTCGCACCTAGCAAAAGTACATTTTCTGCACCCAGATCCACAACACAGTTCAAATCCAACTAGAAGTAAATGGATAACTTTAATATAAAATAGGAAAACGAGAAACTAATGCAAAATTTTATACAAAAAAATATTATAAAAGAAATAACTATTACAGTTAAATTTAATTTGTTGAATGAAAATTCTTAATCTTATTTTTTTGTATTTATTAGATTTTATAAAACTAATATGTGAGGATTTAGTTCAATCTTAACACGTCACTCACTTGATGTTTTTCTAATCTGAGTACAGTTTGATACTTTTTACATTTTGATATAGGATATGAATTTTGAACAGTAACACTCTTTAAAGTTTCAAGCCATTTCCTCTTATCAGCTTGACTCAGTGCCATGACGTCCAATCTAGATGAAGGCCAACAAGTTGTCACAGAATTCGATTCTATTCTAAAGATAAATGGGATGTCAGATTTTGCTGTATCCAATACATCAGGATGTTGCACTATTTCAGAAACATTAAAGCCATTATTCTCTATTAAATTTAAACGACTGATTGGTGCCACCCCCGCACATGGCTGACGTTCGTAGAGACACAGACACGGTTTTTCCAATTTCAAATACTTTCTCTCCCAGCAAGATTTTGATTTACTAGGAACTTTTACCCATCCTTCCATAGAAATTTCATTCTCTTTGTAAGGAGAATTTTGTAAATCCTGCAAAAAATACATATGAATATATAAATTGTTATGAAAATCACGAGATTATATAGAAATAAATAATAAAGTAAATTTAATTTTTTACTGCATCTGGTTTATCCGGCTGATCTATTGCCAAAGTCTGAACGCTATCTCCGATCGATGATAAACTCTCATCACTATCTCTATGAGATTTATGATAGTATTTAGACAAACCACTAGGTAAACCACAATTGGCAGGTACAGACACCGCGCATTTTAAATGCGTCATAATTTGACACTCGCTGCAGATTCGAGCATGTCTTCCGAACTGTATAGCCTCTGGACATGCTGCGCATTTTCCGGCACGCATAGGCAATTCAACATTAAATCTATGTGGAATGTTGTGTCCTATCCTTTGCGGAGATAATTGCCTAAGTAACGAGGTACTAGTTTCTGTGATATTCTTCACTTTTTTGCCTTCGCGTTCTGGCGTCGTCGGAGATGTAGGTGCAGATGCAGATGCGGAAGCAGCCCTAGCTTTTTGGATTAACAGCTGATCTGTCAACGTCTTCACCTTCGCTTGTTCTTTAGCGAGCTGATTCTCCAATTCGCGATATCCCACAGGCATGCCTGTACCCATAGGTGGCACGTTCTCCTTCTGTTTCATACCAAGTATTTCGCATATCTTCGTCTTCTTTTTCTTACCACCTCCTTCCAATTGAAATTGCAAGTAATCAATCAGTTTAGTTTGTTGTTGTATAACACTTTCATACTTTATCTCTCTTTTCTGATAAAACTGTCTCATCTCTTCTATGACGGTTTCCAATTCTGCTATTCTTGATCTCAGTTCCTGACACTGATCTATGCTATTCTGCAAATTATCCCTAAGCACAAAATTTTCCTCTTTCAATTCATGTACTGTCGTCAAGTATTCGCTACTTTCTTCTTTCACGACTCTCGATTCTTCTTTAACAGCTTCTAAAGCATGACTCATTTCCGAGAAATCACATTCCAATTCACCACATTTCGTATTCAATTCTTCTACTTGTATAGTGAGTTCCTGAACAAGTTTCTTATACTGGTCTCTTTGAACGATAAGACCGTTTCTCTCGCTTTCTATATCACTTGTTTCAGATTCCAACTGTTCAATGTTACGTTCGGCAACTATTCTTCGTGTTTTCTCCTCATTTTGCGCAATATGTGCTTCACGAACTTTTGTTTCGGCAGCTTCTAAATCTCTTTGTAACTTCATTTTATCTTGAATCAGCATATTCTCACGTGTTTCATGATCGCTTGTTAATCTTTCGTAGTCCGTTAACTGCTCTTCTAACACTGTACAAGTTTCCTTTAACAACTCATTATTTATTTCATACCCTTTGATATCCTGTTCTAGTTTTGCAATTTTAGATTCAAGATCTGTAACTGTCTGTGTCAAACGCCTGTTCTCGGCATTCTGAGAATCGACACGCTCTTGATTCGATCGTATTTGCCTACGAGTTGCATCCAATTCTCTACGTAACGACGCACTAGAAGTTTGTGAGTCTTCGATTTGATGATTAGCTTGAATTAAAGCCTAAGAAATATGAGAAACGAATTAAAAATAAATAACAAAAAATAAATTTTCTTATATTTTAATTTATATATAAAAAATTAAGAAAATTTAAAATAAATATTTATAAAAAATATATACTCTTTGTGCTGAATCTGCTTGCATTTTATGCCTAGATGCCTCTTTTGTAATATCATTCAATGATGTCTTCGCGATATTTAATTCTTCCAATAATTTCTTTGAATTTTGCTCTTCCTCTTTTACTTTATCATTTAATTTTTTTAGCAACTTTTGATTCTCTTCCTGTAGAGTTTTTATTTTATCCTGTAGAGTTTTTATTTTATCCTCAGCTCGTTTAGCTTCCCTTACAGCTATACGTTTATCTAAGTTAGCATCTGATAATTCTTTTTCTTTCTTCCATAAATTCAACTGGGCTTGTTTTGCTGTTTGTTTTTCAACTGTTAATTCTTCTCTTAATGATTGAAGTTGCTGCTTCAGTTTTTCTGTTTCTTCTTGTCTGTGAAATACTTTTGTATCTGTGACTTCAACAATTGTTGCGCGAGTTGCAGATGGTACTTCATCTAGTTGTTTAAGAACAGCATTTTCTGTTTCTAACTTTGTAACACTATTTTCTAAACGTTTTAATAATTCTTCTAAATTACACACTTTGCGCAATTGTTCCTCTGCAATTAAATAACAATTAAATAACAGAATAGTATACAAAAATAATTCATAATATTTTATGTATAATTTTGTTTACTTTCTTTTTCCAAAGAATCTTGTAATCTTTTTTGCAATGCAATCTTATCTTGTGCCGCTTGTTCTAAATTTACAGCAAGCGCTTCACTTTGCTCTAAATTCATCATGGTTTCATTTAGATCAGATTTGGTAACCTATAAAACAAAATTATTGGATTAAAATTCAAATATAATATAAGAAATAAAACGGATTATTAGAACCAAATATCATTAGCCAATTATTATTATATATATATTATACATTATACATTATAAATAAGTTACACATATTTATACAGGAAATTCAATATTTGAAGTTTTTAGCAAATTTATTAAAGCTATCAATGGTGGCACGAATGGTTCGATTTCCACCTGCATACACGCGATTTTTCATATTCTGGAGAATACTGCTCCATTTTGTATTTTTAAGAAACAATATTGCTCCAATACATGTGACTTTGGCTAACGATATCTAGTTTGGAGCTCTAATAGTCCGCTTTCTTTCTTATATTTGAATTATATATTCATTTAAACCTATTACATTATATTATTACAATTATTAGATTTAACAATTCTTTATCACATTAATGGTGCATTCGGAGAGACACTATTAGCGCTACATCTGTCATTCTATCTTCATTATTTATTAGACATAAAACATACAAAGATAGAATGACATAAATAGCGTCTCTTCAAACGCATCTTAATTCTTAGTTCGCTTAGTTTCCTTCATAGTTGTATGTTTATCTAAGTTAATATTTAATAACTCTTTTTCTTTCTTTCATAAATTCAACTGAGTTTAGTTTGCCGTATGTTTTTACGTTTGAAGTTGCTGCTTCAGGTTTTCTACTTAAAACATTTAGATTACTTACTTGCAATTGTTGTTTTAATTGTTCATTTTCAAGATTCATCCTTTCCAACTGTTCTTGCATAGTTGTAAGCAACTGTTCTGATGACTTTAGATCATCTATCTGTCTCGCTCTCTCTTGCAATTGTTTACGCAAAGCTTCGATCTCGGTGTCTCTTGCTGGTAACGTGGCTTGTATAGTACGTAACTGTTCCTGGCAATCTCTTAATTCATTTTGAGCAAGTTCTAAAGCAACATTTAATCTTGACTCGCGACAATGATTCGAATCCTGCTCGTTTCGTAACCTAGTCTCGAGATCTGTATTCTTTGCCGCTTCAAAGTCCAATTTTGCTCGTAAATCGGCCAATTGATTATGAGAGCGCACAGCAATCTCCTCTAACTTAATTTCTACGCCTTGAACACTTTGTCTACTTAATTCACGCGTTTTCGCCAAGGATTCTTTATATTGTGCCTAAACATTTATTAATAAAGAATTGACAGCATTGATACCCTCAATTTGCCATTTTACCTTCATATATAATTTTTTTTTCTTTTTAGATTTAATAACATTACTTAATGAATAATTATATTATGTTGCATTAATTTATATCATTATCACAAATTTAAGTTCCTACTTGAAATAGTACCTACTTGAAATACGCGCAGCTTATCCAATTCTGCATTTGCAGTTTGCAGTTCACCTTCTGTTCTTTGTAAACGCGAACTCATTTCATTATTACTTGTGCATAATTCTGTTAATTTTACAGTTTGTGCTTCAATATGCTTATTTAATTGTGCAATTTTGTCTTTCTCTGCATTCTCCCATTTTCGCTTAGCATCTCTTATTAAGCCAAGCGCTCGAGTTTCTAAATCTCTTCTCTCTTGTCGCTCCAATTCTATCCCAAGTAACATAAAGTTTCACATAAAGTTTTTATCAAGTAATAAGAACATATCTTATATTAAGTAGAACAATCGTGGGCTATAAAGTATATTTTTTTCCACGAATGTTTGTATTAATTTGTATTAATTGACAATATGTGAATTTAATTATTAGAATTATTATTAAATTACATACCTAACGTCCTTTTAATGCCTGCCAGTTCTGATCTTGTAGTTATCAATTCTTTTTCCAGTATATCCCTCTCCTTATTGGAAGCTTCTAATTTTCGTGTTTTCTCCTCTATTTGAGATTCCATCTGAGAAAATCTCCTGACCTGATCCTGTAATTCAAATATTTTTTTTTGCTTCTCTTGAATTTCTTTATTTTTCACATCTAACTTCGTCTCTAACTCCATTTTTTCTTTAGAAAATTTATCTGGTTGTAGATGCTTAGGCAATTTATATTCTAAGTATGGAGAATGTCCTGATCCCGACTGAGATTCAGTTTCTGCAGCTTCAG